TTTTTTTTTTTTTTTTTGAGACAGGGTCTCACTGTGTAGTTGAGACTGACCTGGAATGCACTCTGCAGCCCAGTCTCAAACTCACAACAATCCTCCTACCTCAGCCTCCCGAGTGCTCGGATTATAGGCATGTGCCACCACGCCTGGCATATAATTGACTTTAAGTATATGTGTTGCCAAAGCAAACATTACTTGACACAAAATAATTAATATAGGGTACCATGTGATGACTTGATGCATGAATATAATGTGTAATGATGAAATCAGGGTAAATAGCATTTCCATCTCCTAAACATTTCTTTGTGTTGGGAATCTTCATACTTCTACTAGTCCTTTATAAATTGTTATAAACTATAGTCCCCTTTCTGTGCTCTGGGACACGAGAGCTTTTCCTCCTATGTAACTGTATTTGATAATTGTTAACCAGCCTCCATCTCCCCTGCTCCCTGACATTCCTAGCCTCTAGTAATCACTATCTTCTACTGTGTACTTTTGTGAGGTCAACTTTATTCTGTCTCATTGGTTATGTGTCAGTTACTGTACCAGCACCACTCTGTTTTGTTTACTGTATAGGATTATAATATGTTTTCAAGTGAAATATTCTGATGCCTCCAAATTTGTTCTTTTTGCTCAAGATTGCTTTGGTTATTTGGGGGTCTCTTTTGGTTTCATAAGAACTTTAGGATTGTTTTTTCTAGTTCTGTGGAGAATATCATTGGTATTTTGCTAAAGATTGCATTGAATTTGTAGATCACTCAGGATAGTATCAACATTTTAACAATATTAATTTGTCCAAACCATGAAAATGGGATTCACCCCTTCGTGGGCATGATGGCACATATGTAATCCCAGCTACTCACAAGGCTAAGGCACCGGGATTGTAAGGTCAAGATGAGCCTGGCCACTTAGTGAGACTCTGCTGAAAATTTTAAAAAGGGGTTGGGGGCTGTGTAGCTCAGCACTCCCTGGGTTCTGTCTCCTGAACTAAAAAAAAATTAAAACTCAACCTTATGCCAGGCTTTCCACTTCTCTGTGTTTCAGTTTCTTTAGTTTCTCAAATTGGTCTGAAGAGCTTGCTTTCTTCAGGGTTACTGCCCAAACTATTCCCCACTTTAGGGAGACTTTTGCTCGTATTCACACGGTGACTATTTATTCATTTATTTCCTCAATATAAGGGATCAAACTCAGGACCTTGTGCTGGCACGGCAGGTGCGGTGCCACTGAGCTAAATTCCTGGCCCAGTGACTCCTTATTTTTGATACAAGCAAGAATGTCACTGCTTCAAAAAGTCTTCTGTGAATTAAATTGCCCTCTCAGATTTTAAAAAATTATCACGCACCTTTATGATTTCTTTCAAAACCTTTGCCATAGTCTATGTCTTAGTTACTTTGCTTGTTGCTGAGACAAAATATCCAGCTCCCAAAATTAAAGGAGGGAAGATTTATTTAGCTCACAGTTTGTAGAGGTTTCAGTCCATATAGTTGGCTGGCTCCAAGGCATGGTAGAGGAGAAATAGTTAATGGCAGGCAGGCAGGTGAGAGCCAGCAAGGGGCCTTAGAAGCTTCTTTCTGCTCCTATTATATTCTCTCTGGGCTACAGGGATTAGGGTGGTGCCAGACCAATCAATGAACTGATTTAGTAATCTCACACCCTTAATCGTAGTATCACATGTTCTAGATTCAACCACCTCTGAAAAAGCCCCACATGACTGCATGAGGCTTTGTGGGGACACCGAGGCACTAGCCATAATACTCTGTCATTGTTACTTAGTTTATCTGTATTGTTCACTAAATAATAAACTCCACAGAGAAGAAGGACAGAGATTGTGTTAATTTTATTCACTGTTAAATTCATAATGCTTAATATTGTGTCTGGCAAACATTGCCTACTCAATGTTTATTGAAGGAATAAATGAGCTTATTTCTTTGTTTCACTCTTTTTATAAAAGACAAGCAGATGAGATAATCTAAGACATGACTACACACATTTTAGTTCCCTGATTATGGTCATTTCTTTTTTCTATACTATTTTACTACTTTCTTTTTTCTGAATTTTAAAAAATACATGCTAAAATTGTCTTCGTATGTGTGATCATGTAGGGCTCTGAGGCAAATTGTCTTTGTGCTCTGCTTCCATCCTATCCCATTTTCCTTCCTTAATTGTTTTGCCTCTTCCTTTCTGCCTAGATTGCTCTCTGAAAAATTACCACTTAATTCTTCATTGTAAAATGAAAAGCCTTTCCCTCAGCTCTTATTATCATGCTGATAATCCCTGCCTTCAAAACTCCTCTTTGTTTTCACTTCCTTATTTTGCTCTTCAATTTAGAGACTTTATTCCAAGGCTCAATTTTCTTTATATTCATTTTCACACTGTTAGATATCACTTCTTTATAAGTACTGTACTCTCATTAATTTCTTACTTGACATTCACTAGACAGATATATCTGTCAAAATGGTGAACTCTTGGTTTTAGATGCTTCTTTGCCCAGTTGTTCAACTTACATTGTTGATACCTATATTTTTTACTCAGGCTCCAAATCATAGGAGTCAAATTTCCCCTTTGTCCTCAACTTTTATGAAGCCATATAGTTCAATTAAGAGCATAAATCTGAAACAAACTGCCGGGATTCAAATGATGGCTTCAGTGACTAGTTTGGTGATCTGGGGAAGGAAGTTCCTTAACCTATCCATCCTTCATTTTCCTCAGCCATTAAAAGGTGGGGGGTGATAATAGCACCTTCTCAGTAGTTCACCCACTTAATGTGTTCTATAATTTTGGAAAATATTGCCTTATTTATGTGGGAAAGAAAGATGGCTATGGTGATGTTTGTCATTTGATGCAGAGTTTGCAAACAAAAACAAAACTTTTCCAAATACTTCTGTTTGAAAACCAAATTTTTTGCAACCAAAAAAGTGTTCATGAATGGAGGCACCACTGTAAAGATTAACTTCGTTAATAGGTATGAAATGCTTAGATCAGAGCTTGGAATATAGTGAATATTCAGTAAATGTTGCTATTATTATTATTATTTTGTACTGGAGATCGAACTCAGGACCACAGTTGTCAGGCAGTCACTGTGCCATTGAGCTACATCCCTGGCCTGTTACTATTATTTTAAAAATTGGCTTATTACCCTTATTAAATCAGCTACTAAGTCTTTTAACTCTGTCTTGTGCATCTTTTTTATTCTGCCACTTCCCAGTTAAAACTATAATTGTCACATATTTGAATTATTATAGTAACCTTATAACTGTTACAATTTTTACTTAAAACCTTATCTTTTTGCAAGTCAGTTAAATGTTTACATTATCTTATATGATGATTTTAAGTCAGTTATCTAGTAGTATGTATACATTGCTAAAATTACACTTTTTAAAAAACACCGTATAAAGTTCTAGTTTGTTTGACCTTTCTTCTAAAGTTCATTGTGCATTTTTCCACTAGGGGGCAAGACAATGTCATGGGAGTTAAATACTGCTTTAGGAAAAATGATCATGTGGTTATTGCTATGCCATATCTGGAGCATGAATCTTTTTTGGTAGGTTTTAATATTTCTTGAATTTTAATTAGCTAAATATTTGATTAAAAACACATTTATGACCTCATTCATAATTTTATTTTAGGACATTTTGAATTCTCTTTCCTTTCAAGAAGTACGGGAATATATGTTTAATCTTTTCAAAGCTTTGAAACGTATTCATCAGTTTGGTATTGTTCACCGTGATGTTAAGCCCAGTAATTTTTTATATAATAGACGTCTAAAAAAGTAAGTATGAAGAATTCCCAGAAAATATTTACACTTATGTGTTTGTGTTATGGAATCTCTCTCTTAGATATAAAACATATACTACAGCAGCTTTGTACAGATTATTTTTGTTTAAAATTTTTATTGTGATTGGGGAAAAGAAATGCATGAAGAAAATATTAGTAAAGCAAACATACATCATTAGAAGTAATAAGTTTCAGCAGAAATAGCACTTTGCTAAAAGAAAATTGGAAAGAATTCAGTTCTTTTTGACTTTACATATGTGTCTGATCTCTAGGCTTCATTTTTCTGTTTCAGTAAATGAGGAGATTGATGACATGATAGCTAATTTCCTGTTTCTATGGCAGAGTTCTGATTTTATGTATATTTTTGTGCTCATTATACCCATATAGAAATTATAAGCTAAAAATAAAATACCATTACTTATATAATAGATTATATTGAATATGATAAGATTAAAACTTTCTTTGCAATTATTACAGTGTTACTAGGCTTTAATTGTTAAAGAAAAGTAAAGATTACTTTTGTTTCCTAGGTACGCCTTGGTAGACTTTGGTTTGGCCCAAGGAACCCATGATACAAAAATAGAGCTTCTCAAATTGGTCCAGCCTGAAGCTGAGCAAGAAAGTTGTTCACAGAACAAGTCTCATATACTCAGTGGAAACAAGATCTCATTGAGTGGCTCAGCACCTAAGGAGCTGGATCAGCAGTCCACCATAAAAACATCTGTCAAAAGACCCTATATAAATGCACAGATTCAGATTAAACAAGGAAAAAATGTAAAGGTTCTACCTTTTATATTTTTAAGATCCACTATCATACTGTTTTAGAAATGTACTCCTTAATTCAATAGGAGCTATAATACTAAGGTAATACCTGTAATAAAACTTTTTTACACTTGATCTTAGCCAAAAGGCCAAGAAGTGATGTAATTAAGCTTTTTAAAACATTGCTGTATGTATCCATTTGGTTAGATTTTCACTAAGATTTATACTGAGCTGTTTTATTATTTCAAAATGAAAATTTTTACTTTCTTGACTGATAATCTTTCATATAGTCTACAATTACATTATGTGATAAAAATGGAAAATAATAAATTTTCCCTGCTTGTTATAAAGTTCAGATTAATTCACCTTTTTAAAAGAAAGCATTAGTTATAGGGGTAGAATTCTGAAGTGTCTATCTCCATTTTAGCTGCACAGCAAAATGTAGCATCTATGCAGGTGGTTTTTAAATTTTTGCAGTTACATATATTTGTGAAGGATGGTAACATTGTACGGGTACTAAGAGTTCTGTCTAGACTATTTTCTCCTTTCACAGAAGTGTTTTGGTGCCTGAGAATGTCTTGGATGCAGCTGTTTTTGTTTCATGTAACTTAACTCCTTCAAAACTATGGCAGAGTACAGCTGGCAGAAAGTGTTACAGATATAATCCTTATTTTCCTTGTTTTTGTTGGTATTGTAGGAGGGATCTGTAGGCCTTTCTGCCCAGCGCTCTGTTTTTGGAGAAAGAAATTTCAATATACACAGCTCCATTTCACATGAGAGCCCTGCAGTGAAAGTAAGTAATGTAGCTCAATAGTTCAATGATCAGTCAGTCATATACTGAAGAAAATTTAGGTAATGACTAGATTAGTATTTATTAAGTAGAGTATGGATTTGGCAGAAGATACTGCCTTGAGCATTTAATCAAAACTTATTTTCTCAAATTTTTTTCCTGAAATTTTCTGGTGAATTGTGTCATCATTTTTGGTTAGCTATTTTTTTCCCCCTTCAGGATTATTTAGAACATTAAGACCTTTTACATTAAGATTGCCAGAATTGTGAGCTCCCACACCTCACAGTTCTTACACACAAATGATGGTATAAAGATGTTTATAAAGTCAACAAAATTCTCAATGTTAGATTCTTATAAATTGACTTAGGATTTCTTGTGACAACTAGACAAGTTGAACAAATTAAAACTGATTTTAGCCAATGTAATTGTGCAACTTACACTTCTGAAATGGAGTTAGACACTAGAACATAACTTACACCTTTTTAATATATCGGCAAATATTCTAATAAAATGTAAGTCAAATATTTACCAAACCAATTAGTAAATTTTAATATGTTTGTTTAAAAACCCAGAAAGACCTTAAACATTTTAATAGGTAACTATTTATAATCCAATAGCACATTCAGAAGTTTTAAAGGTTATTTTTCTGCTACTGCTTGTCATACCAGCATTTGAAAGGATCATGTTATATAATTGAAATAGAAAAAACGATTTTTCCTTTATAGCTCGTAAAGCAGTCAAAGACTATGGATGTAATGTCAAGAAAGTTAGCAACAAAAAAGAAGGCTATTTCTACAAAAGTTATGAATTGTGGTGTGGTAAAGAAAACTGCCAGTTCTTGCCCAGCCAGCCTGACCTGTGACTGCTATGCAACAGATAAAGTTTGCAGTATTTGCCTTTCAAGGTAATGTGTTCTACTGGTGCTATAAAATCACACAGCATGCTGCTAGACAAGATTATAAATTGAACTAATTTTGATGGGCAGTTTATTTAGTGAGTAAAAGGGAATAACAGATATGTAAACTACACAGGTTTTGATGCAGAGCCGTGCCTTGAAGAGCACATAACAGTCATACATTTATTTAACATGCATATGCTCTTTAGAAAACACATTTGCACTAATATGCAAATAAGGAGTAGAAACTAGATGTTTTAGAAACTTAGAGTTAACATTTTGCTGCTGATTCAGTCTTTTTTGTTTTCTCTATTTCTGCCTATGGGGAATAAACAGAACCAAATAATAGAGCTCCTTTCTTACTCCTCCCTTCATGTCTTTGCCTCAAAAAATTTTCCCTTTCCTTCAAGAGTTGGCTTTCTTAAAGCTTTATCACTCTATTTTTCTATTATGGCTTTTATCATTTGCCATCTCTTTGTGTTTGGAAAGTACCTTAAGACCGTTTTAGAAAAAAGGCCATGAATCTAGTAGAGGAGAAAACCAGTAGAGTAAAATCTAGGTAGTTCAGTACACTAGATTATCATTTGCTTTGTAATAACATTTGTATCTATGGCAAGGCAAAATTTACTATGAACTAAATTAATAAATACACTTTTTTGGACTTAAATAGTTCAGCTTTAACAAAACTGTAACATAACTAGAGAAATGTTATTTCTTCATCATAAGGCATCAGCAAATTGCCCCTAGGGCAGGTACACCAGGATTCAGAGCACCAGAAGTCTTGACAAAATGCCCAAATCAAACTACAGGTATGTTGCATTGAAAATAAAGAATCTGATTCAAATGGTTTGTCCCAAATACATTGTATTTTAAAATCTTTACATATTTATGAGTAATATTTAAGCTCTTGCTTTTAAATTACGTAAGCAGTCCTAGTAGTGTAGCATTCCCATTTTTCATATAATGGTATTTGTTATGAAAGTTTCTTATCCGAATATTGCTTTTTTTAAGATACATGTTGTCTTTTTTTTTTCTTTTTTGTACCAGGTATCGAATTTGGAACCTTGTGCTTATGAGGCAGGTGGCAGCACCACTGAGCTAAATCCCTGGCCCCTGTTGCTTTTTCAAAAAAATTTTTTTTTCTGCGAATATTTTGCTACTATCACTTTTATAGAGAAAAAGTTATGTTTAGTAGTTTTTACCAACTTGTAGCACTTTATCTGTTTACTTAATACTTCAATTTTTTGTGAATAATTGTATTTGGCTAGAATTTTTGTTGTTGTTAGTGTGAAAACAGTATGATAACAATGAAAAGATTTTGGAAAAGGACAAAGTATTCTGTAATCTAAAAATTATCATGAAGTTAGAACCCAGGTAACATTTTATTGAATAAATAGATGAATCCTGCTATTCACTTGGATTATAGGCTTTGAAGAAATACATTCATTTATCATGTATCTGTTCTGTGCTTGCTAATGGTGCAAAAATGAATGAGACCATCTGCTCACAGTCTGGTTAGGACATGTTCTCAGATAGCAATAATAGAGTAGCCTACTGAGTATGGTGATAAAACCTTATATAAAGGATTTCTAATTCAGATTATGAAAGGAAGTTCATGGAAAAGATGGTCTCTGAGATAAGGTTGTAAATTGTGGTGGGGGATTAACATTGAGGCATGAGCTGAGGAACTCAACATAGTCGGGCACTAAAAGATTAATGTTTTTAGAATTTAAGGTGCAACTTGAATGATTAGAAATAAATGTAAAAGTACATAAGGTAAGATCATACTTGTTAGTTTAAACTATATTTACAAATGGAAAAGATGGTGATATTGTCATTAGATAGGTCATTCTGGCAGGCATGCAGAGGATAGATTATGGAGAATGGTAGCCTACAGTGGTCCAGGTGAGAGATGATGAAAACATGAATAGGGCCATTGGTAGCAAGAATGAATGGAAAGGTAAAAGGAAAAAGCATTGAAGGAACAGGCAAAGATACAAATGAATCTAAAAAAAGGCAGGTGATTAGTGGCTAAGGGTATAGAGAACAGTAATTCAGTAATACTAGTTCAACATTTAGGAAAAGATGTCCCTAAAGAAGAGGAAAAGGTGCTTTTTAACACGAAGCTGAGCTAGTCTGTTTTTCTGTTTGGGTGTTGGTGTTGATTTTGGCACTGCTAGGACTGAACTCAGAGCCAAAATGTGAGCTAGGCTTAATCTTAACTTCCAGAATTCAGATTATTAAAGCTTCTGTAATAATAGTTGATGTTAGCATCTGACTGAAGAAGAGCTTCTCATATTCAGTACTTTACATTAAAATGAAAATACTTTCACCTCGGGTTGTAGTTCTTAAGGAATGTCCAGATTTTTTCTCTATAGTTATTTTTGGTTTCTTTTGCTCTTATAAAATGTAATTTACTTAGAGTTCTCTAACAGTGATGTATCCCTTTAAACTTACCAAAGTGTTCAAGAATACAGTATTTTGTAAGGATGTTGAATCACCAATCCTGACTATAGTAAAATTACCTGAGGAACCTTTAAAAATACTTAACTTCTGAACTATTTGATGATAATTTCTGAAGGATTAAGCTTGGACATCTGAATTTTTTCAGACTCTCAAGATGATGTTAAAGCACAGTAAATGTCAAGAACTACTTAGATATGAAATTATATATTTGGAATTTAAAGTTTGTTTTCTGTTACAGCAATTGACATGTGGTCTGCAGGTGTCATATTCCTTTCCCTGCTTAGTGGACGGTATCCATTTTATAAAGCAAGTGATGATTTAACTGCTTTGGCTCAAATTATGACAATTCGGGGATCCAGGGAAACTATCCAGGCTGCTAAAACTTTTGGTAAGCCATTTTGTATTCTAGAACAACAACAACAAAAAAATCACCTCTGATTATCTGCAAAAAAACATTTAATAAATTACTGAAAAATTCTCACAAAGAAGTTCTCAGTGTTCATAAAGTTCTAATTTTAGGTAGGAAATTTCTCATTTGCTTTAATATTATCTCTTCTTTACATGTAATATGGTCATCTTACCAAATCCAAAATATTAAACTACTCCAGTATTTAAAGTTCAATTTTATAATCTTAAAAGAATTAAGGAGTAAAGTCTTAATTCTCTTTATTGTGGTTTGACTTACATGAATATTTTTAGTAATAGATTTTAATTTTTTGTTGTATATTAATCATCAGATTTTCTGCTTGGTACTAAGAAAGTCTTTGTCTTAATTGATCATAGTTTTAAAAGTAAATTAATTTGAATACAGTATAATGAGGTCTATCCAGGCTGCTAAAACTTTTATGGCAATGGGAAGGAAAACAGAAGTGTTAGTTGTCAGATTCTTTAGTGTTGGGGTAAAAGAGAAGTAAAAGGACTATAACACGTCTCTGATGGAATTTATTTTATATAGATATGGAAAGTCTTCCCCTTAGCCACACCGATTCTTCCAGTTTATAGGGCATCTATGAATTGTCCTTGCCCTGTCCAACAACCTGAACTGAAATGCTTGCCTTGTGTTTAGCATAGTTACAGTTAATGTTTTCCAAGGAGTGACTCCGCTTTTCTACCCAATATGGACAGAGTTTCATTCAGCCTAACTCAAGAGTAATTAGGTTGCCATGCCATAAATGAGTCTTAGCCAGAAGCCCTCATCAGAATTATTCGAGAAACTTCAAGAAATACACATGACTGCCCATCCCTCGCCCATTTCTGGAAAACATGATTCAGGGAAATATGATTCTTAGAAACTCTCCAGCTTGTTCGTTTGATGACAGAAGAGACTACTGGGTGAGAACTGCTATCAAAACGATTTTGTCCCTTGCTTAGGTACCAAGGCCATGGTCTTGATTCATAAGAAAAACTTAGTTGTAGTTGTTAGAAAAGTCTCACAGTAGGGCAGCATGATAGGGTCTTGCCAAAAAATACTTCTGTTGTAAAGTTAATCCACAGTTTTTCTCTGTCTTCTTCCTATTACAAGAAATTTTTGAGAAAAGTAGGACAAACTACACACAAGGGAAAAGTGATCATAAATGTAAAACAAGATTGTTACATTAAAACTGGTATTACATTGATTGTGATTAACTTGTTATTATCAATTAGTTGAGGAAACTTTTATCTACTCTTTAATAATTTTGAAAGAAATTTATGATCTTGAGATTTATCAGGCAGCACCAAAAGTTTTTGTTGAAGAGGTTGAATCTTCCCCACTGGAAGTGACAGTTACAATGAACGCCAACAATGGAAGTACAGAATCTGATGGAAGTACTCCAGAGCAAGTGCCCTGACAGCAGGCTAGAGCTTCTACCATTGTAAAGCTTGTTTTCACATTTTTAAAAATCATCATGCTGTATAGCACTTGCCTTGATTTTTTTTTTTTTGGTATTTCTGTAATTATTTCAGTCAGCTCCTACTACAGCTTTGCATAGATTACTAAAGATTAATAATTTCAATACATACAGCTGTGTTCCCCTTTGTAAAATAATGAATTGACTTGCCTGGTATCAGTTAGAGTACTTCTATTTCTCCTGTGTGTAACCTGCTCTTCGGTCCTCACCCCTAGGTCTTGGCCCATTGTGGATCTTTACATACTCATTGAATCGTATTGAATAAATTCAAAAGAAAACCATGAAATAAAAGAAAAAACTGATATAGTGCTTTGATCAATTTTATTGTGTAAATTCTTTTCCCTATAGTTTAAATATATCCTCTTCTTTGGTCATGTATAAAGATAATGTAGACATATAGCTTGAGACATGCTGTAACACGTATGGTTAATTATTTCATAACTTCACAACAACCTAATAAATTAAGGAATAAAACTATACGACTATCCTCCTCTGGTTAGACTTACTTTTCCAGAGAAAATAGGAATAGATTTGAAAGTGATAAAGAATTGGCATCCTATATCCTCACCAAATTAGACTGTAGTAATGTAGTAATTGCTTCCTTTGTTTTTACCCTTCCTACCCCCTTTTTCCTGTCTTACTATATCAGTGCAGTGGTTAGATCAAAATATGTAAAGGTTAACTTTTTTTTTTACCTAAATTGTGTTGTTGATAATTTGAATACTCCAAAAAAAGAATCTAAATATTCTGCTACTCCTTGCTTAGAGCCATATTTCTATTAAAGTAATACATGGCAAAAATAGTACATATTTGCCTAGTTTGTATGTTTTTTTCCTCCTGATAATAAGCTCATGGAGAGGTAAAGACTTTTAAAAATAGATCTGAATTGAATTTTAAGAAAATTATTAAGGCTCTATGTGTGCTTAGTACTATTGTGAGTATCTGCTTTCATAGAACTCAACTTCTAATGAGATAAAGAAAGTAAATACATTAGTTCCCTGACTTTCACGAGTATACTCTATAAACTCACTTTGTTGGCTTACAAACAAATCTGACTTACACACAGTTCTGGAATGAAGCTCAGTCATAGATTTAATTGTATTTACTATCAGAATTGAATGATGTTGAGAAAGAAAAGGAGAACACGAACAAAGAAGGGTCAGCTATTTAGGATAGATTGGTCAAGAGCGGTATCTTTAAAAATGTGACATTTAAACTGAGTTGTTGAAAATAAATAATGCTTTTTTTGTTCAGCCCAACAGACATTAACTAAGAACCTAATATGTATTAGGCATTGTACTTGATTCTTAGGTGTCAGAACTTACAGAGGTGATTCTTGACGGTGATATGTGTGGAAGTCTTAGGCACACTAGGAGTGTAGAGCATCCTAGATCATTGTAGTTAGAGGTTTGGAAGTGGTAGCTGCAGCTGTTTAAAGATTACAGAAGGATAAAATGAAGCTGAAGTTGACAGAGTCAAGTGAGTGCCTAGTTACTTCCTTTTACTTATTATTTTCCTCTTTATGATTTGGCCTTCAACTATAGTTCAGATACAATTTAAAAATAGTATGTGGTCTATCTCATATTCTGTGTCTCCATAAACATATGACTGAACTTGCATGATTTTCATGCAAGTTGTTTCTGATATATTCAAATAACATAATATTTGTTTTCTTTTAGGCAAATCAATATTATGTAGCAAAGAAGTCCCAGCGCAAGACTTGAGGAAACTCTGTGAGAGACTCAGGAGTCTGGATTCTAACACTCTCAAATTAGCAAGTGATACTCAAGGATGTCCTTCTCGTGATTCACCTATTTCAGAGGAGACTGACCATAAAGCTTCTTACATCATACAAAGATCTCAAGCACATCCCTCAGATTCATTACATAAAGGGGATAGTAATGGATGTGGGAGTCATTTTGATGATAATAAGACCAATTTAGAAGGCTGGGATGAAGTACCTGATGAAGCTTATGATCTTCTTGATAAACTTCTAGACCTAAATCCATCTTCAAGAATAACAGCAGAAGATGCCTTATTGCATCCATTTTTTAAAGATAAGAGCTTATGATGATGCTTCCTTATTTGATGTTATTGTTGTGTATTGTGAGGTGGAATGAAAGTCCTTTATAATAGCCTTAAGTTATTTAAAGTCCAGGGAAGGATGAATAATTTCTTTAAAAATTTTAGTTTTTTCTTGAGTAGCAGATTGTAAAATTTAGATTAAAATTACTTAACATGCCTTGAAGAGCTCTTTGGACCAACTGCATGATCTTTGGCTCAACAAAACAGAATCAGATCTTTTCCTCTTACCACATGCAAAAGGAAACAGTTTTACCCACCAACATGGGTTCAAGATAAAAGATTAATAGATGTGATAGGAGTTAAATGAGTCAAAGCTTAGTTTCCTGTTGCCTTAAAAGTATGAGCTGTATAGCATCTTGAAAAATTCAACCTGGTGCTGTTGCTCAACAATTTTTTTAGGTAAAGAAATACCCTCTTCTGATATATACATTATATCTTTTATGAACACTAAGGAAATGTTCTTTATGGTGCAAAATATCGCTTAAAAATTGTACTTAATTTATCCATTTAAAATATTTTATGAAACTTTGTTTTGCACTAATTGTCAGGGTTTTTTTTTCTGCCCCTACCTAACACATTCTCCTTGGAAATGATACAGTACCACAAAGTTTCTGAGTGCTTTACCAAGTGTAACATTTACAGTTGGGAATTTAAAATAATATGTACACTGGTTCATAAGGAGAAGGTTTCAGGACTAAGGTGAATATTGATAGTTCAAAGTGCTTTTCTTTTTCTATTTTTATTATTTAAGTTTCCCTATAGCATCTTAGGTATAATTAGATATCTGCTCAAGGGAAAAATGAACATAGAATTGAGAATTTTACTGTAGATATTTTTCTCTACCTAGAGCCATCCAGATTTCAACATTCTGTTTTGACTAAGTTGATCTTACTCAGAGTGAGTCTAAGGTGGGTTGGGAAAACGTAAATTAAGGATGCAAAGTAGAAAAGGACATAGTATAGAGGTTTATATGTTACCCACATTTCAAAACAATCAGTGACAGTATATCACACTTGGGGAGAATTTCCCATTTAGTCGTTATAGAAACAGTTTAGAGGCATACATTCACTTTGTTATTTTGAGCACTGAGTGTGCTTACCTAATTTTGGTAAATGTAGTATATAATATGTGTGTGTGCACACCCATGCGTATTTATGATTGCCATTGATGTGATGTCATGCTGTAATTAAAAAACTTGAATTAAAAAAGTTTCTCAACTATAATATGTAACTTTTTTTGTAAATACAATATTTCAAAAATATATGAAAAGAAAATGAGAAAGAACATATAATGTTTAAAGATCATATCAAACTAATAATGTATTTGGATTATCAGTCTGTTGCATAAATTTTTGTTTATTTTGTATCCTTTTTTTTGCTGTCATGTATATGTATATTTGAAGTTTTTTATTTAGTATCTTCATTTCTTATTGTCATCTATATTTGCAATCTTTAACAAAAAACTTGAATATTCTTAAATTTGTATATTTAATAAAATTATCCCTTTATATTTTTGTCAGACTACTCATTTTAAAAAATGATAGTTTATCCAGGTAGTGGTGTACACCTGTAATCCCAGCTACTCAGGAGGCTGAAGCAGGGAGAGAGCAAGTTCAAGGTCAGCCTGGGCAACTTAAACCTTGCCTCAAAATTTTAAAAAAGGCTGGAGAATGGAGCTGTGTTTCTGGGTTTGATTCCCAGTACATGTTCACATTGCCTATAGTTCCAGCTACTTAGAAGGCTGAGGCAAGAGGATCACTTGAGCCCAGAAGTTTGCATCCTGCCTGGGCAACAGCACAGTGAGCACACCCCCACTCCCATCTCTATTAAAAAATTTTTGTTTTGACCCCATCTTCAGATTAATGAATAGCTCTCCTCAACAAATAGTGATAATAGGTTAATATTAACTTTTGGTAATAGCCAGTAATAAATATAAATGTTTTGGTCACGATGTATCATCCAAGTAACATGAAAGGTTTTGCTATAGAAGAGATGGCCATTGACTTAATTTATAGAATATTTGCCCCAAATAGTGAAATAGTAAATCATCTTAGTAACCAGAACAAAAGCTTTACTCAGCTGAACGTTTTGATTCACAAGTTAACATAAATTAGGAGGAAGAAAATTTTACCAGAAGGATGGGGGAAGGAGACATTCTGTTGGGAAGTTTTGAATTTAAGTCTGTCCGTGTTTACTTTCTGTTAGAATGGAACTTGGTTGATACTGATATGCAGGAAGGGAGGTAAAGAGCTGGTATTTTTAAAGTACGGTATTACAAGTTCCTGGGGAATTGTAATTTTAAAGAATGTTACAATTTTGAGGGAAATGTCACAATATCATCAAAACTAGCAAGGATGCATATAAAGATTTTTAGGCCTTTGGAATATAATTTTATAATGGCAGATACCTCCCTAAAATATTTTATTTAGGCAAAATAGTCACTTCTAAGGAAAGACTAAAAGGATAGGTAGTGCTATTTCCAATCTAATAGAAACTCCCAGAATATTCAGCTATTTTTCATTGTCAGCCTTTTAAAATTCTTACTGCTCAGGCTCAAGATAAAATTAAGATTATTTTCATTAAATATGCCTTAGACATTTACAACTATTACTATAACAAGCTACAAGTGTTGGTTTTCAAAAGGCTGCAGCATTTTTAATGAAACTTCCTTAAAAGGAGATGACTATGGTTGTCTTAATGACCTAAATAAAAATGTGGCTCAAGAATGATTATTCCAGAGAATTAGACAAGTTTATTTCAGAATTGGAGTAGAAGTCATCAAGTAATGTTAACATCTTCATTTCTGGCATCACTTTCAGGGACAAAATTGTCTTACAGATGTCAGAATATTGATTGCATAAAATTTTGAAACCCATAAAAGTTGTAGACTTAGGTTTTAGTAATTTCTGTTTTCCATGTAATTTCATCCCTATATGTCACTGAAAAGTTATTTATCTTAAGAAACTGGCCAAATTTGGTGGGTAATGCTGTCTGCCAGTGTCTGCAGATGTATTGTTTCCTCCTACATTTGTGTATGCTGTCTGTGGTCTTTAAAGAACCCTCTATAACCGCAGACAATAATGTCAACTCACTCTTCAGACTTTTTTCCCATATTCTTAGAACTGATGTTGCTGTTTCCCAATTTTGTCAAATTATGTTTCTGAACTGCCTTCCTTCCTTGAAAGGTAGACATTATCAACTATATACTAGATAAGTAATCAGATGTACAGTAATTAATGCTATGTCAAATTAAGGCAAAGTTTTCAATAAAAAAAGTTTTCACAAAAAGTGCTAAAACATTTAGTAAATGATGCTTTAGATATGTAAAGTGAGAAAGCGTAATCTCAGGAAAGTCATAGCAAATAGGTTGAGAAAATTGTTAAAAAGAAGTTCAGAAAAGAATTGCAATGTAAGACATTAATTTGACCTAAATTTTTTTCCAGAAGAGAATGAATTAAAAGGACAAAATTGGCCTTTGACCTTTATTTTCCTTGCTTTAGAAAATTAACAATTTATGAAAAAATTAAAAGGATGAGCAGACAATTATTTGAAGGGTGTGTGTGTAGCTTTTACAAGGAAAGAAAGACTAGAAAACGTATAAATGGTTTAGATTTCAATTCAGGCATACCCCACGTGCAGAGTTGAACACTTTGTGTCCTAAACTTTAAGTGTTTCCATCTTAGAACTGACTGAAGCAACTGTTTAAGAAAATTCCGCACTAAAAATTTTAATCACAGCACATGAAGGAAGTAGCTTCTAGATTTGTCTCTAGTTGCGGATTTAGAGAGTGCCAGTGCTGTCTAGTAGGAAGTCAAGAAGATGGATCAAGGGGAAAACTTCCAACATCCTTCAATCCAGAGTAAAAACAATACTTACCTCTTGTGGGGTGAGTGGCATAAAGGAGAAAATGAAAATCATCACATAGATAGTCTCTTTCTAATCATAAGTTTTGTATCTATCCTCTATCTACACTGTATTACTGATGGTGTGTTTTCATAAGTGTATTTAATTGTATATTTACCCTTTGTGTAAATTCTTTCTGTAACTTTCCCATAGACTAGTACATGATCTAGAAGTGACCCCAGCTAGAATAAGACAGAAAATAAATAAGGAACAGATGCATGGCTCTGTAGCCTCACATTGTTTTTTTTTAGCTCTGTCTTTAAGAAGATTGAACTGGGGACTAGGGAATCTATCCTCCTCCAAATTTCTCCACACACTCATCTTAATGCTTTTTTTTTCTTCTTTTTTTTTTACTGTGTAGAAATTTTTGCATTTTTTCTAGCATTATAGCTGATCATTATCTTCCTATACCCAAATTTTCTGATTAAAACCAAAACCAGCCACACTGTATGTGTAGGTAGGTATATGAGTAATCTTTAGGCGCATATTACCAAATCTCCCTTAAAATACACTTTTCCCCCAGGGTTGGGAAGATTAATGCCTTGTGTCTATGAGTGCCTTTCTTTCATCTTATTTTAAAAATAATTCTATAGGTAATGGCAATATTAAATGTTTACTCCTCAAGAAACGGAAACATCACTTTTATGTCTACAAATTTAATACCAGCATCTTACATATCTTTGTATAATCTGAGGAAGTATCTTTCTTATTCATTCCTATGTATTTTGTCTAGACTAATGCCAGCCATTTATTGAGTTGGGGCTCAATATTATTAGTTGTATAAATGTATTTAACTTGCATTTAACTAATTTGCTGTCTTGGAAAATATTAAGTCAAAACCTCTCTTAACAAGTATGCCTATATTTTTAAGTTTGGTACAACTTGATCTGGAAGTGACAACAAATGGCAAAACCAAACCAACCTCATTTGGTTGCTCATTTTTCCTATGTAATTTCTTTCCAGTAGACCTGCTTCTTCTCTTCTCTTGCTCCATAAAAATCTAAACTAAATAAAGAGAAGTCTCTAAGGCCATGCTTTAGATTCAAAGTAGATCAAAGGGGCCTTTTCCTCCAATCTATACATCCTACTACTTTTGTGTGTGTGTGTTTTGGGGATCAAACTTGGGACCTTATGCTTGCAAGGAAGGTGGCAACACCACTGAGCTAAACCCCCAGCCTTTAAATGTGCTCAGTTTTTTTGTTGTTGTTGTTGTTTTTGTTTTTGGGGTTTTTTTTTTTTTTTTGGTTTTTTGAGACAGAGTCTCACTATGTAGTTGAGACTGACCTGGAACTCACTATGTAGTTCAGGCTGGTCTTGAACTCAGCAATTCTCCCGCCTCAGCCTCCTGACTGCTGGGATTACAGGCGTGTGCCCAATGCCCGGCCAAATGTGTTCACTTTTATTAGGCTATAAGAAGTCCCACTTCTACCCCTACAAAGACTTCCCTGATCTGTCCCGTCCAAATGATCATTCTGGATCTCCTCTGTACAGATTGTAAGTTTCTTGAAAGTGAAGACTGTGTTCTGTATTCCCCCACACTTCCTGTCCCCACCGTAGAGACTGAAATAGTCAAAACTTTGGAGTTGACTAGGAACCTAACACCATGGGATAGTTACAAGCTCCAATAGAACAATCCCAGTATATTTTAATTCCAGATAGGTCCTTTAATTCTAGAACATCTGAAGGATTATACTCTTTTCCCTTGGTGATCTGTCCTGAGACTTCTCAGCTCCCCAGGACCCATCCCATCCATCTCCATATTAATTTCTCCGCTCCAGTTTGCTGGTACTCTATTTCCATTTTATTGACCTCAGAGGAGACAAAGAACAGCTGGTGGACATTTTATCTCAAATAACCCTTTACATCCTTGTGTAAGTAGCTGGTGAGCAAAAAAATTCATACCTAGAGTCATGTTTTTAGCTTCTATTTGTGTGCCAAATACAACAGCAATCGAGGTACAAAGGACCACAGGAAAGAATAACATACACATTGATAATGCTTTGCTTATACATGTAGGACCCTATTTATCCTGACTTTTTTCTGAGATAGTTTCAATTCTAAGAACTTATTATTCTGTTTCTTGTTTTTGCGAGGCAGGCAGTGGCACCACTGCACTAAATCTCCAGCTCTCATTGATGTGTTTTGAGAATAGGTTCTAACATTTCTGCATCCAAATTGAATATTTAAGACTTCTTCTCAGCTAGAAGTACAGTGCTATGAAACTGTTGGAAAAACTATGCTTTTTAGCTCTGAAAATGCATTCATTATAATCTGGCATCTAAGGCTATCTCTGCTTTGGAGACCAAC